AGTATTATGTATAGTATTATATGTCACCTTATTTGAAATACTGTCTCGCTCGAAACAAAAATTCTTTTTTGTGGTGTTTCTTGATCGTTTTCTGCGCTAACGATTCCATTCCCTGCTTCATCATCCAATTCGTATGATACTAGTTTTGAAAATAAATATGGTAATTGTCATATTATATTATACATTTACTCTTATATAATTACTACAATTACAGTTAAGAAACAACATAAACGTAAAAACATAATTGCGAAGTTTTTGTAATGTACACATAGCAAACAGAGAAAACAACCAAGAACAGTAAAAATTTAAGGATCTACATACACAGAAGCTAAGATTTAGGTAAGGTTGTCTAACTGTTTTTGTAAAATATATAATCCAGCCATATTGTGATTAGTTACACTTAGTTCTTTAGACATTTCTTCAAGCGATTTAAACAGCATATAACCTGTTGTTTCTATAGGATGATCATTTTCGATTAATTCTAACAATTTATCATAATTTATAATTGAAGAAAATTCTTTCTTATCACTATCAATAAGTAATAATATCCACAAATCTTCTGTTCCAAATGAATAGGAACGATAAATTTTGACTACTTCTGTTGTTTGCTTAATGGTGACTATCAAACTCATATCCAACACGTCATCAACGTCCTAAATGGAAACAAAAGAAGTGTGCAGTGAGCCTTTATAATTACGAGATATAAGCGCATTATTTATTTAAAGCGCATCACTATCGTTTTATATTATAAATAATTAAATCTGACGGAATTTTTTTTTCCGTCTATAAGTCTTTGTCCTAAATTTCTCTTAATAGTTCATAAAGACAAAAAATGTAGTATATTATCAACAATATCGTATAATATAAATGGAAGATTTAAAAACACAAACAATATTTTTCAATGGCTGTTTCAGTTCGTTCATCTAAAATATTATTCTCTTTTATCGACGAAGGACGATTACGACGATCATATTTGAACGAACTAAATCGTTGAACCAACTTGGCAGATGTTATGAGTCGCATCATAATAAAGCAAATGTTAATCGGGGCATTACACCCTCGAACATGTATCAAATCGGGTGGTAGGGTACTAATTGGATGAAACGATGGTAGCATTGATAATTTTACTTTTCCAACAACACCATAGATTTGCTCGTCCGTTGGAACTGTTTGTACGTATTGTACATGTATCTCGTGAGATTCTCGTATTCGTATTAGTATCTGACGTTCATCATTAACAATTTTCATACCATCATAATGCGTTAGACAAAATTTACAACAACAACCTACAGAGAGAGAAAACCAGTGAGCAAAGAAAATGAACACACATAGGTTCGGAGTAAGTAAAATATGTTGGATATTGCTCGTTCATTAAAAATACACCATTAGCGTTTAGTGATTTTTTATTGTTGGCTAACGGAAGAAATAATGTGGAACGGATTACGCCGTTCTTTAAAATCTTTTGTTTTACATAACAAAAATAAATGTACATCTTTAATGAATTAGGATAAGGTAAGAGATCATCGATGGGAAAATAAATGACTCTTACTTTGTGGACACTATCGAAATTGTTCTACTTTTTCTTTTTTTAATCTAATGACATCCTAACAATCTTACTTTTGAAATATTTTGCGTAGCACATTTCGAATTGGAAGGTAATAAGTTTTGGCATTTGTTGGAAGAACAATTTCAACCGGGTCAATACATATTGAAAGACATCTTTTGCTGATTCATATTTCAAATGTTTATTATGAATATGACGAGCAAACGATCGAATATTATTATATTTGAAAATAATTGAACTACACAAAGACAGGATGCTGAAAACTTCGATGAACTGCTATGATACTGACGAATATGTCTCAAAAATGCAACTACCTCATCAATAGCTTGAAAGCAAATAGTACATTCTGCTGCAGTAGCTATCTGCTCTAAAACAAATAAAATAAACAAGTTTTATTAAATGAACAATTTTTATCTAAGCGAGAACAAGACACGTTAGTAAACAAAAACAATCGAAGATTTCTATTGGAGAGATGGGAAAACAACGAGCAGAAACGTTTTTATTCTATTTTTAGGAACTATTTAATTCGTTTATTTAGCAATATTTATATATAAGTGAATTAAACATCGACATATTCAATAGTTTTTCAAAGCCAGAAAAGCTGAGATATTTCACGAAAAACAATAAAAGGACGATCCTTCTAATTCTAAGAAAAGGAGAAACCGTTGTCGACAAAGCATCTGCACATTGAGCTGAGTTCGATGACAGTAAAGAATTTAGAGGACATATTTTCCTACATTTGGAGAAACTATGATATTCCAAACAAGCACCATGGACTTCTTACGTAGACCTTCTCAAAATAAGACGAAGTACGCGTTTTCGATGTTATGCCGATCAAAGAATAAAAAAGGAGAAAATTTCTGCCATCACAAAATGAATCCCATTGTCACGATTAAATGATTTCATTGGACAACAGCGGAAATCTATCCCGAAAAATCCCCGTGGATTTTTGAGACAAAATGAACTCAAATTCATGTGAAATAATATAAAATCAGTTCGATTTTTGACAAAAGCTGACAAAAAATCAACACGATTTTCAAATCTAAATTTTAATTTTCCCACAAATAGTAACAATTTTATATTCCTTCATCGATCGTCA